TGTAGTACGTGTAGTACGTGTAGTACATGTAGTACGTGTAGTACGTATTTTTTCAAGTTTGCTTCTTTGTTTGATGGTCGTTGAAATGCTAGTTGGCAAACGAGACATCAAACTTTGGGGGTCACACTTCATCAAAAACTGTCATAAAAGACATTAGAGGCAAAAATAAGAACAAAGAAAAACGCAATACTTTTTTTAAATTTTATTTACCTAGATCAGTACAAATTCGATAGTAAATAGTTTGATAAGTTTGAAAATATTTAACCGAAATACTACGTCTGATAATTCAAGCTTCATCGAACACACCTAGAACACAAATCGAGCTTGATTTCAGAAAATTACTTTGTGGTAATTCTTGATGTGTGCTAATTTTGCCGTAATTTGGGCTTGAGATTTCAAGTTTATTGTTAAAGACATGGCCTTAATGTTATTTGATCCTGCAACAAAATTATACAACGATTTCAAATTGCTTGGTTCTACTGAAATATCCTGAGACAACAGCACCTCACGGCATATYATCAAACAATATATTTCTAGGTTTATCCATATCCCTGGCTTCATGGACACATTTTTACTTTCCATGAAAGTTTTTCCCCTTTTTCTCTTATAGGGAGAAGCTAATTCCCTCTTTCTTTTCCTTGGCTTTGTAGGCGTTGAAGGGGCAACACGTGACTGAATTATGTTTGCACAGTTTAAACACCTACACATTTTTGTACATCCAATACCGCTTGCCACACAAGGACACTTAGACTTTCTACTGCCATCCCTACACGCTTCCTGAATCGGTTGCTCTCCCTTAGATTTTCTACCTTGTCCGCATCTGCAGCTTTTCTCATAAAGGCTTTCTTTTACTACAGCGTCCTTGCCCGCTGTTTGGGTGTTTTTACATCTGCAGCATCGACACTTACGTGTACAGGATTTCTTTTTCCTTTTGCACGGGCAGTTATCTGATACACACGAAACCTTATTTTCTTTTTGTGAGTTTTTACCGCATGTACACCCTTTCTCATTTACTACGTTTGCAATGGATTGCTCATCAGAAGCTGAACTTTCTGAAAATATACAAGTGTAGCAATTAGTATCATTTTTCACGAACTCCACTAATAACTAAACCTTACTTTGTACCAGTACACCTGGAATATCACATGTGGCCAATAAGCCAATAATCTAATATTGCAAATAAGTAAAACCTTTTGTTTGCGTTTATTTGTATTCATGATTCAGCACATGTGTAATTTTACAGGGAAGTTAATTAAAAGAATACCCAACTTCCGTGCACACACGCCATTTATAAGTTATAATTATTTAATAGAGTGCTTTTAGTCTCAATGTTGAATAGTTGACGTCACCTAAATTAGACAATTATTTTACTATTTTAGCTGACTTCACATAAATTCAAAAATCACGTGCCAACGGCTTCAAAATCCAGGGGGGGGGAGGAGGGGGAAATGATTACCAGATTGGACGCTTTTTCCCACATTCTTTGGTAAAGCAAACCCCCGGATTAGCATGACTGTTATATGGCGCGCTTCTACTTTAGGTGACGTCAACTAAATAGTTAACTAATTTAGATAAATTTATCTAACTATTCAACAGTGAGACTAAAAGCACTCTAAGACGGACATGTTAGAATATTTGAATCTACCTATTGTTCCGTCGTAGTGTCCAGGTCCAGAATGATCGTAAGCAATGTAAATGGGTATCGCAATGATGAATTCCTGCGGTAGAAATGGCACAGTGGGCTGAGTTGGAAGTGCTGTTACGATAACAATTGGGATTCGTAGAAGTCTGGCTGTGGCCTTCGCACAAAGGTCGCCCACTTCACTGGCAAAATARCCATCTTGGTTGAACTTATTAACTTCTTYTGAATAGTTATCGCTAGTCATCCAATTTTTGTAGTAATCTATATTTTCTAAAACTTCTTTGACGAACAGCTTCCTAAGTTTTTCTTTATCTGCTTCCTCACTCATACCCATCCCAAGCATTGTACAGCGTGCTTCTAATTGTTCTCTGTAAAGCATCAGGTGTTTCTTGAGCTGTCTGGAGACTGCAGTGAAAAAGCAGTTTCCATCCCTGGCAACTTTATCAAGTCCAAGGTTAAGACCAGAAAGATTTCTTTCCAGATTGTCGCAACGTTGATCAGTTAAGTCAAGTCCTATTTCATTTAATTTTGACTCATTCTCAATAAGGTCATTCATTGTAACACTATTTGACCAAAGCAATGCTATCACATCTAATGTTTTGATTTTGCATCTTGTTGTTATCGCACAACAGAAGTCTTGCAGGTGTAGCACTCTTTGTATGATGTAGTTTAACGTCGTTTCCGTTTTGATTTTTTTCACGCTTGTTGCGGATGTACTGAAAGGAACATGCAATGATGAAGTTGAATGGGCTGTATCTCTTTCGGTAGTCTCTTTCATGCGAGGCTCCTGAGGAGAAGGTTTTGTAAAACTTGATTTAAATATTTCCACTGGGACCACAGGAGTTGTTCTCTTGTTTTGCAAGCTTTTCCCTTTACGTTTCCAGTTCCATGCATACAATGCACATGTCATTACTGCTATAGCAAGTTCCGGGCCGATTTTTGAGGCAAAAGGATACCATGCAAGGGCCAGGCAGGTTTGCATGACAGTTATCTTACTTGCAATTTTCTATTCACAGCTCAGACAGGTATTTAGCATAGGCCACACGGATGGTGTGCCATGCGTTGTAATCGAACCATCATTTTACACCCACATCAATCACGAGAGGTACAGTTGCACTAGCCTGCGTGGTTTACTTAAAAGAAAAAGAATTGGTAAGAGCCAGGCAAAGAAGGTGGGGAACAGAAATGTACGGGTTACCTATATTCACCAGGATATCCTTCCCCCCGAATTGTTAAAAGACCTGCTCAGAGGTAAGATGTTTTGTATCAGTAAACTATGTGGAAAGTTTTTATCGAATCGTTATTATAAGAGGGAAGGGGAGGGGGAATATAAAAAACTTTCTTTCCCGTCAACCCCCAAATAGTATTCGAGAGCCCGGACGTTCACTTCTAACTGATCTCTGACTTTGTAAATAATTCGTCAATGTAAAACAATATATATATATATATCAAGGCCCCACTGTTGATGGTCACCTGGCGAAAATAGCGAAGGGTCTATAGAAACTGTTTTTAGATTTGAAATGTGAATTAAGAAAATTCTACCTGCATATCTGTTTAAAAGGCTCCTTTAAAAAAACCTTAAAAACCTTAATCAGGGATGAAGGTGTATCCAAGTTTAGATGAAGACTTAGAGCCTCGCTCATCAATTAAGGTCATAGTCTACCCTAAAAATCTTTGACTAAGGGACGAATCATTAGATTTTCGAAGGGGGGCCGGACAAAAACCAAAAA